ATCGAGTCGATGGCAGGAGGTCGGAGAGCACATGACAGGGAAAACCTTTGCACACACTGACCAGCCATTGAGTTTCGAAAATGTCCGAGCAAGAAGGGACAAAACGCAAGGCGGCGTACCGCTTCTCTATCCCTGTTGACATAGACATGCTAAAGGAGGTCATGTTTGCATGTCCTCATGATGCGCCGTACGGTCAAACATCGAGTCGATGGCAGGAGGTCGGAGAGCACATGCGTGCACTACTCGGACCAGAACTCAGCGCTGGAGGTTGCCGCAAACGGCATGACGATCTCATGGCAGCGTTCAAGAAGGAGACTGTAAAGTCGATGCGTGCATCTGGGACTGAAGAGGAATACCTGGAGCGAGAGCAGCTCCTTCAGGACCTCTCTGACATGGTATGTCTACCCGTGCATGTCCATCTAAATTCATTATGTCCAGATTGAGAGCGCAAATGACAAACGGAAAAGCATCCAAGAAGAGAAGGACAAGAAAGCAGATCGCCGGGAAAGCGACGGACACCTCATTCGGGAAGCGGCTCTTGCCGGGCTGAAGCGCAAAGCGACGGCGCAGGACTCTCTCGACGAGAGTGAGGATGACGACAGGTCTCCTTCGAAGAAGAAGGAATCGCGGGGAACGACCCCACTGAAGGAGGCAGTGAGCGCTGTCGTCGACTTTGCTGCGATAATGGAGGCATCGCACAAACTCATGCGCGAAGACCAGGAAATGCAAAAGGAGGCCCATGTGCTAGCCTTGCGGAAGTTAGAACTCGACGAGCAGCGTTTTCTACTGGACAAAGCGGAGCGTGAGGCCAGATTTGCTGCAGAACAAGTCGAACGCCAGACACAGTTCGAGTTTATGCAAGGCACGGTAGAATTACTTCGCGCACTAGCTCAGAAAATGTAATTTTGTTTTGCTTTGTTTGTTTCGACACTATATTTGAGATAGAAAACATAATTTGAGTAGACAACAGAACTTAATTAGCACTGTGCAAATACTCCTCAGCTGTAGGGGGTTTGAGGGCAAAGTATCTTGAGACCTGGTTGCCTTGTCGCATGCAAGTATGGACATTTGTCAAAATGACGGCGACTGCATAATGCATGCCCACAGCTTGGAGCCACAATTTTTGACCACCCTTGTAGTCAACGTAAGTCCACAAATTGCGGACAATACCAAACCCCCATTCAACGCTGACTCGCACTGCACTCATTCGCCGATTAAACTCGGCTTGGTGCTCGTCTAAAGAAGCCCCTTTGAACCCAGAGATTACTACATCATTGGTCCCGTAGGCAGGATCTCCGTAGATAACATAGCGGGTGTTGCCTACGAGTAACTTACTTTGCAACTTACACACTAAGTCACTTCGGGCCAAAAGATACGCATCGTGTCTTGATCCCGGCTCCGGGCCATGCAGGTGGACAATTATACCGTCCGGCGATGTCACAGCTTGATACTTCAACGCATGCTTCCGCTATTAAAACAACCATATATTACATAAACATACACAAGTGTGAAGCGAACCTTATGTCCATTGTACACAGCCTTTTGCGTTCTTTTTCCGGGGCGGCAAATGCCACGTACAGTGCCATCGATGAAACCGATGCAGGTTTTGAGCGGGGCACCTTGCTCGTGCACAGCATTGCCACAACGTCGCATCCATTCGGCGTCAAGTCGACTGTGATCCCAGCACAGAAGGTGGGAGAAGCGTTCGTGGATATGCCTGAGCACGGTGTTGGCGATGGCCGACAGGGCTTCACGACTCCGGCCGAATGTCTCGACCATGGTGCCGAGACGGTGGGGCCAAGCTAGCCGATTCAGCAAAATGCATATCGCCTCCACTGCACTTGCACGATATCGTGCCGTGGTGACGACTGGGTCAGGCAGTTGAAGCAGCAATGCAAGCTGCGGGATGTCGGCCTTGCCGAAGCGGAACTTGAATCTGCAGTCGGCGTCGGTCTGGGCTGCAAAATCAAAGCGGGCAGC